TGAAAGGATTAGCCTAAATCTCAGGGCATTAAGCGGCTGTTCAGCAGCAAAGCCAGGTAGAAGAACCTGGGCCACACTGGCAAAAGGCTGCATCGTGTCGACTGGTATCCAGTGTGCCTCTAACTCAAGCTCCGTTCATGTCAATGAGCCCAATCTAAGCAGGACTGCTATTCGATGCAACCCTGTAAATTGCCAGGTATTAGTGGAGGAGTGTGATCTGCTACTAAGAAGTAATGGATAAGGGGGGATGCATAAATCACACCCTGCTCACAGTTCTTCCCTCTAGGAAGCTTGCTGCCTGACGACCCATTGCTGCTGCTGCTGCTGCTGCTGCTGCTGCTGCTGCTTTCCCTTTGCAGGGGCTCCAGGCATTCACTTGCCCTGTTGTAGGGGGGGAGGAGGCCAAGAAAAACCATTGCAGCCTTTCTACTACCGCTTTATAGCCTCTCCACAGTTCCTCAGATCTCCAGATCTAAGACTTTTCTCAAAAGTTTCATTTGAGAAAGCGCTGCAAAGTAAATCAGAGAAACCCACACACAGCTTGGAGACCACAGGTGCCCCTGTCTTTTCTTGTGGCCCCCATTGCCCCACTGATTGCCAAAATCACCACCACCAAATTGCAACCGAAATTTGCAACTTTAAACTTTAAAACCAGCAAGGATTTTGTGTTATTCCAGGCAGGAATTGTAGCAGTGGCAGGAGCTGAAAATTGGTCCCTGCAGCCTGTGAAACTGTCTAAAAGGATGCCCTGTTACCATGAAACTTCATAATCTTTGATATTTATGAGTGCCCATGCACTTTTAAATTATATTCCTATAGCATGAGGCCTGACAGAAGGAAAGCGATGGTGATTCCTGAGAGCTGCAAGCTCCGGTTGCTGCAAGCTCCAAAGCAAGAAGACCTGCCTTCTTTAATTCAAGGGACTGGAGATCTTCCATATTTCTCTGCATTGAACACATATCCTGCAGTCAACAGTCGTAGTCAATACAGACTGTTTGTGCTTATCTAAGATATTGCATTAAAATTTTGATCAGTTTTGAACTAAACATACGAACATAGAAAAAAAACAAGTCAGAAGGGGCTCCTGGGCCATCTAGTCTGACCCTTGGCTCCAGCCAGCTCCGTGCATAAAATTCTCAACACACGGTTGTCCAACTAAGAATCAACACTGTTTCTTTCTCCTTTTGTTTTTGTTTATCCGATCACAAATTAAAAATACACATTTTGTAAAAAGTGAGCTTTAAAAACCCACTTGGAACTTGCTGAAGAAGACAACATTTGTTTGTTTGTTTATTTATTTATTCACATCTTTATATGCCACCTATAACTGCCAGAGTAGCCTCCCTAGGCGACTCACACGATCAAGTAGCATAAAACAGTTAAAAGAATAAAATCATAAAACATGAAAAATAGTACAATATAATAAAACCAATAAAGGTCCACCAGCACTCACTAAAGGGCTTAGATATTAAAGAATTTCTTTTAGAAGTATGCTTTTGCCTGGTGCCAAAAAGAAAGCAAAGATGGCGCCAGGAGAATTTCCCTAGGGAGGGGGTTCCAGAGATGGGGGGCAGCAGCAGAAAAGGCCCTTCACCTATTTGCCATGCCTCTTATTTCCCCAAGGGGTGGTTCTCGTAGAAGGGCCTCCTAAGCTGATCTTAAGGAGCAGGCAGGTATATACAATAACAAGTTCCTTACTTGGTAATTCAAACTTGACCCTCTCCTTTAACAGTGTTGATTCTGTGAGATATTTAACATGGCTACAGAACACATTTCAACACAGATATATAGCCTAGTAACACAAAAATACAGGACCTTCCATTCTGAAAGTAAATACACAAGCTGCACCCATCAGAGTAGACGCCTCAGATTTGCTCCACTGGTGGCAGAAGACACTGCTAGAAAATAGAGTTCAAAGATTGCGGGCATGACCCGTAAAATTATGCGGCAGATAGCAACAAGTTCGCGTTTCAGTCACCACACAGAGGCTTAAGCATGGGATGGATGGAAAAGCAAGAGAAAAGGGAACTTTAAAACAATATTGAAAAGAAGAATTGATTCACCATTGCTATTAGGAAAGAAATTGGTGTTCTGAGGAGATAAAAGTGAAGATGCATCTATCAGCCAAGACTGCTGAGACAAGAAGGGCAATAATTCAAGAAACAATTAACTGTCACTCCTAAGCAGAAGCAGACTGTGAGAGGTGGCTTGATGTTGATATGATCTTGGTATTATTAGTGGCTTTGCAGGGAAATTCTCAGTTCTGAAGGCAAGAAGATCAAGAGACAAACTTCCATAAATACCCAATAATATGGTCATTTTCAGTGGTCAGGATTCATTTGTTGTCCTTGCAGAACATGGGATGGAAAACTTGGGTGCCTGTTTCTACTTGTGCTCCCTACTCAAATGTATGAGTAGGGGGCACAATGTGCTTCTGAATGTGCTTATAAATATGGTGTTTACATGTAAACATTGCCAATTATCCATTTCTCCAAACTGAGAACTCTAGTTAGTGCTAAGTATGGTTTAGGGAAGCAACTCAAGATTGTAGACTGTGATTCAAGATCAACTTATTTCCTTAAACCAGTCTTACTGAACCTCCACTGGATTGCAACTTCCATTATTTCCATTCCATTGGGAATGATGGGCACTGTAGTCCAACACATCCAGAACATACCAGGTTGGAAAAGGGTAGGGAAGACTGTTTTAAACCATCATTAACACTAAGCACAGTCTTGGTTCAAACAAATCAAGTAACTGTGGTTAGTTGAAAAGAGAAGTAAAAGCTTCTCATCTTATACTCTCTGCAGCACCAAAGGAGGGGAAGAGTTATGGGAGCACAGAAGTTCATGCACACATTGTGAACCATACATCAGTGATATCTATGAACTAGGCTGATGAGCTTTGTCGTCCTGGATCCATCGCAAAACTAGTACACAAGATGGGGAGGTCAATTCTACCAAACCCCCGCAAGTCACAAAGACACATCCCCATGATGAACTCATACCAGTGGACATGGTTCTGTGACCCGCTGTGATTTGTGGGGCACAAGATGGGATTCAAAGGTGGCATAATGTAGTGGTTTGATTGGCAGACTAGGGGGATTCATATGTGCACTTAGCCACAATGCTTGCTGAGAGGTCTTGGATCAGTTGCTATCTCTGCCTATTTCAAAGGACGGTTGTGAGGAAGGAATCATGGGGGGGGGGGGGGGGGGGGGGGGGAGGTATGTAGACCACTTTAATCTCCTTGATGGAAGGGTAGCATAATAATGTAGGAAATTTATATTTCATTAACATGCAACCAGAATGACCTGTAACTTTTAGCTTACGGGAGACACAAATGCTTCTTGGAGACCAAAGACCTCTTTGTTGTGGCTCTTTTCTGTATCATCCTATGCATATACCCAATGTGCAATATCATGCAGGAAATGGCTCTTTTAAATTTTTAAATTTTAATAATGCCAAATCCTCACATAAATCAGGCCAATTGATTTGGATAGGATTGGCTTCTTGAAATCAAAGCATGGCTTCTTCAAAATGGAACAAACCCAAATCTGAACACCCCTGAAAATTTGGATGGGTTTGGAAGTGCAGAAACATACATGGTGTCTCCAAAAATTGATACCAAGCTCTCAATTTAAGGAAAGGGAGAGAAGAGGGGTGTCTCCCTCTAGTCAGCTCTAGTCTTGAATCACAGTTAATTATGATCCCAGCACTTTGGAAGAGGGATGTTGAAGTAATATAGACTTATCCAGCATTCAGTTCACATTTCTAGCCCTTTCACCAAGATGTAGGGCCATTAAAAGATATATGGGGTCATCGGTAGGACCTGGGAGGGTGTACCATGAGGTGCTTGCTTGGAAAATGTTGGATTTTCAAATCTTTCTGGCTCTGCCACTTTGTATTGGACATACCATCTTCTACCTCTTCCCAATTGCTCTTTCCGGGACAGATGCAAATTGAGCAGAAAACAATTCATTATAATTCCCCAGCCACTGCACCTATCCTTTGGAAACTTTGCAGGGTTTTTTTTCTAGGGACAGCTCTATGGCATAGCCCATTTTTGTACAAATTACCAAATAACAAAACCAAAAACTCAATGGGGGATAAGGGGCAATCACTTCCCCCTGCAAACACACACAATTAGAACACTACCTTTTAACAAAACAAAACAAAAATTCCACCATACCTTGCGTGGGGATGTACATTTCACTGCTAGGGCCATCTCTCTGCTGTGTGCCATCTTGTTAACAATTGCCCATGAAAACATAGGGAAATAATCACATCCTTTTTTGGATCCCTCCCATCAATGTTAAGGCTGATCTTGTACAAAGTTCTTGGCACCTATTTGTCTGAAACCTGACAGGTTTGATGCCCTCAGGAGAAGCAACTAACCATGTAAACCCCTGGATCCCAGTTATCCAGGTAGGGTCAGATTGGGAGAAGCACTCTGGCAGGTATCTGAGTTGTGTAAGGTTTTATAGGTTAAAACCAGTCTTTGTAGGTTAAAAGTAACTGTGTATTTAGCTCAGTATTATCGATACTGCCTAGAAGCAGGGTTTCTGACTAGCTTTAGCTGACGATTCCAGGAAGTGAGTCTGGAACACTCTGCATGCAAAGCATATGCTCTACCATTCTGCTTTGCCCCTTCCGTCTCATTGCTGCGAGTGAATGCGTAGCATCCAAGACCCTTCTTACAGGTAAGCCGTCTCCAGCCAAGCAGATGGTAGGAGGTGGCATAACAGCAGTGCCCAATGTGCCACTTCGATTGTGCGTCAGGCTTATCAGATTGACACCATCATGGAGACCTGAGAGGCAGCAATTCCGACCTGACGTAGCTTCACTCAAACAAAGTAGGCTGGCATGAAAACAAATGCATTTATTTTGAGTTGTGGGTTTCCTTGGCATGGGATGCCCATGTTTTGTCCAAACTGTGAGCCAAAACTAATTGTTTATTATGCTAAATACATAAAATATGCATTTTCCTTCTGCTTTCAGGATATTTTTCCTCACCAAAGTAAGAATCATCCCTAAAGGAGCTTTCTCTGGATTTTCTGAAGTTGAAAAAATGTATGTACCTCCATTTTCACTCAGTATTTCTATTTTATACAAGGTTTTCTATGGCTCTTGTCTTGGTTGTGGTTATTTTTTCTCTCTCTGAGGCCTGCCCAGTGCTTTAATTAAGCTATCAGATTCATCGGTCCCATAGGAACATGCTCTTTCACAGCTAAAGATCTGTGAAAATGTGAAATAAAGTGAGGGTCTGGGGAACCAGTATTCCAAAACAAGGTTTTTGCCATTATGTCTGTACAACTAGGTTGTTCAATAACAGAGATGATCAGAAAGCACTTACAAGCAGATACAGTAGAGCATCATAATGGAACTGATTGATAATGTGAGCTGCGAAAGGGATAACTCACTTCCACAGCTGGACATTGTTCATTCATTCATTTGTTTGTGAAAGGGAGCCAGGTCAGCTCCAGGTTTGAGGAGGTCAAGCTCACACAAGCCTTCTTGCTGCTCTATCCTGTACCAGTTGCACTTTCAGACTTACTTTCAATAAGGGTTGGGGATTCTGCATTATGGCACTCTAACCTGCAGGTAGCCAAGGCATGTGTCACGGGTTAGGTCAGCTTTCCCTAGACAGGGCTACAGGCACTGAACCAGCCCATGCTGCTAAAACCTGATTCCACCTTGGCCTCCACAGACAGTCCAAGAGGGTTATTTTACAGTGTCCTCCAGCTGGTGCATCTTGGGATTCCAGTGAAACAAAAAGGCAACTCCCAACGTGATGCTTGCCCTCCCCTGGTGCAACAAGACCAGTGCAACCCCGAGCCCGTTTTTGCCAAGGAAAACCTTGAAATGCTTGCTGGAAAAACATGTGCAACCAGCCAGCCTAAGCTGTCCTCTGGTTCAGCAAGCCACTGACCCTTCCAAAGTGTCCCCTCCCCAGAGCAACCAGCCAACAGCTATCCTAAAGTGCAGCTGGAAGGATATTTCCTTTATTTCCAGCAATAAGAGACAGAACAGTTATTCAGCTCCGCAGCCCCCAGAGCTCCAGAAACCAGGCTGGCTCCCCTCTAGTCGGCTTTCCTGAACGACTGACCTGCAGGTCTAAACCACCCAGTTCACGGGGACTGCATGGTTCCACATTCCTCCCATGACCCCACTCACATGTGCGTGGAATCCATTTTGAGGGCGAGTCCATTGGATTCCCTGGGGTCAGTTCCCAAAGTCTGAGCACACCCAGGTTTCACACAATGCTCATCAGGAATCAAGCCCTGCATGAACGCCACACAAGCCGCATCCCTCTTCCACACCACACGGGTCAGCCTTTGTTTGCACATGAGATGCAGGAAGGTTCCGAATTGCACAACCTTCATTCCAGGAGCATTCGCAGACTTCTCAGCTCACTCGGACCGAGCAGGTGAGGAAGTCTGCAAATGCTAGAAGGATGAATTCCATGGACCTTCAACTCATCCTTACTCAGGGGCCCCCTGGGAGGATCAGCAGCAATGTTTGTTCCGATATTAACACTTTTCCTCCATGGAAAAGAGATCTCCCCCGCGCACAGGGAAGTTTTCTATCAATCGCTCCTATACAAAGCACAGCAAATGAGTCCATGAGAGCATATCTGAAGCCAACCTTTCCTCTCACAGACATGGAATTTTTAATTCACTAAACCTCTGCAGCCGAATGAAACCATTGTAGGAATATATATAGCAGTTCAGCTTTGTGCTAACGCAGTGCACGGTATGTGTATTGAAGTACCTAATTTGTATACTCTAGGCAAATGCATTTTACCACATGGAGGCATCACATTATTAATAGCCGCTTTCTTGAAATAGCCTACCGTTGACTTTAATCTTGTGGGGGGGGGGGGTTGGTTGTGCAGGATCTTATGGGGCGGAGAGAAGACGCTCACACAAGGGGTCTCTCCTGTTTTATATGCAAATATATCACTTGATTATATAGTTTGTGTTCCTACATCATCATGAATATTTCCAATGAATGTTTTATGGGTTATAGGTTTGATTTGTGAGCTATTTCACATTTCATTGCTACTCCTCATCTGCAGATGCTGCCGATGCTGATTGGTCTCATTTGCATATTCATCACACATACACCCCATTTTCAAAGCTGCCGTATTCAGAACTGTTTCCCCACGGCGTCGCCACCATTCGGCGCAATATTTTCAAATGAAAGTCACTTCTGCTGTTTAACGTTCGGTTTGCCTTTTCGTCTGCTGGTTAATGGCATTTGTCGGGGTTGTCACAAGTGGCCTCCCCAGTTTCCCTCTCCCTCCCTCTCTTTCACACGTTATACAAGGCAGACATATGGTTTCCAGGTAATGAAAGGCAAAATAAATCATCCACAGGTGTGCTCAGCAAACTCCCTCACACTCGTCAGCCTTGAAGTCGGTGGACCAGCCTTTTGGCTGCCTCAGGCAAGAGAGTAGCTGTTCTGCTTCAGCAGCCAAGATAAGGAGCACTACTCATCTCCTCCAACCTTGCTTCCTCCTCAAATTTAGAGGGAGACACAGAACTGGGGAGGCACCACTGGGGGGACATTGTTCCCTGCTTCTGCAACTTCCTCAGCCTCTTGCTGAGGAAGCACATTTTCTTCCAATGTGGGGACACGCACAGGCCAGTCCATTCCACGGGGCTCCGTCTGCAGGTCCATTTGGCTCTATCTTGGCAAACGTATCTTCTTATAACCCTCCTGTATGTGCTGCAAATCTGCCCTACCAGCAGTGCCTCTGGAGATGCAAGTCCCCCTCAGGCTCGGACAGGACCGGACGGGACAAAACCCAAGGCCGGCCAAGTGATTTAGGTGCCTGAGGCAGAATATTCCCTCTTCCCTGACATTAAAAATAGAACAACATAAATTAAAGACAGGACCCTTTTCTGCCCCTTCCTGATTCCCAGAATAAATTGCCTGAAAGAGCCATTTTGCTCTGCATAACAGCAATTTTATGAGACTAGCTTATGAAACTCTCTGTTGTCCCTCCAGTGCCCAAAGGAGTGCTACTGGTAGGCAACATGGCGCATTTCATGCTCCTATGAGCCGGTCTGGTTTGCATCCAGTCTTCCAAGCAGAGGAGCAGCCGGCAACACGGAGCTGAAAATGCAGGCATGGAGGAACACAGTCAGCCTCACTCATGTGTATCTGCAAATTCCTGACGGAGCTGAAAGTACTTTTGGGGATCTTTTGCAGAGCTGTGGTGTACACATCCTGGATGCTACATGACACTTCCAGAAAATGCAGAAATTAGCTCAAGGACATTGGTAGCCAAAACATGGATGTTTGGTTTTACTGTCTTTGATTGCACAAAAGAAAATGATGTATTAGTAGATCCAACCCCTTCTACTGGGCTAGGATGACTGTGTCCGACTTTGGAGGGGACAGTTCTCTGTTTGAAGGCCTCCTCTACAAGATAGAGAACCATAAGAAGGACATGTAGGGTCCTTGAAGTGGCCCATCAACCACAGTTAGGCCTGGAAAACCAGACTGGAGAGCAAGAACTGACTGTATTTACATTTGAATTAGAATCTTTCCACCTAAATTTGCATTTATGCAAATAATGTAGGGTCCAGTCTGATCGAGCTGCCTGTAGGCATCCAAATTGGGAGGGTTATGGATATAAGATGCAGAGCACAAGAAGCATGGAGGTGGTGCTGCTAGGTGGCCCAGTGGGGCTTTCTAATTGTGGTGATGCGAGTCTCTTCCCAAGCCCTAAACACCTTTTCCGAAGTTGCTATATAGTTTCAAAGAGGCAACTGGTAAACTGGCCACAGGGAAATCCAAGTGCAGATCCAAGGTTAGCAATCTTTTCCCGCCCTGGATCTGGGTCTGAAAAATCCTACGGTCCTTGACATATTGCCAAAGGACTATAGGATTGCTCCGTTCCTATTAAATAGATTGTGCACACCTGTGTCCTCTTTGGCCCCTTGTTTAGTGTTGCATTGCCTCTTTGGGGGCAAGGGGTAAGTGGCCATTCTGCACTGGACTGGCAGGATGTTCCTAACAGCTTTGGTAGAGTAAGAGAAGATGGCAGTGGAGAGTTAAGATTCAGTGTATAAAAGTCAAGGTTGGTGCAAAGAAAATGGCAAGGCATTGCTGGGGGAGCTACAAGAAAGCAAGGGTTCCTCGTGCTTCAGCGATCATGAATGAGCCATGCAATGGGCAGAATGGATAAAGAGACATTTCAGGAGGAGGAGGAGGAGGAAACAGGAAAAATAATATATTTACCCTAATTAAGAGAAATAGAACCACAAGGGAATTCACTTGGGCAAAAGCACTAACGCCATCGGTCAACTTTTGGACATAAACTTTGGCCTCAGTCCAGATGGAAGTCTAATGAACCTCAAGATGGCTAGATGGGCTTGGGCAGGTCATAAACTAAAATCTTGGTATAGCCCTCATCTCAACTAGACAAGTTCAGGTTTTCATTTATTAAAACAAAACCAGAGCGGGTTTGTTCACACAATCATGGAGGGTGAAACAAGCTACTAGGGGATTTGCATAACTGCATTCACTGGTACAACTTGCCATGTCATGTGAACCCAGCCAGGGTGGCTTCTTGCTGTGGTTAACAAGCCACCCCAGAACTTTACAAGTTGGCTTACTTCTCCCCCTGTGACTGTGCAAACTTGGTCCATGCAATTCTACAAAGCATACCCAGAGCCAAGTTCTCTGACTCTGCCCTTTTCATTCCCATGAAAGATCAAACAGCTTACTCTCCTTAATTCCCTGATCTAATTCCTTTGATTTTTTTTTTTTTTTTTTAATCCCTGTCCTTTCCAGTTTCGGGGAACTCAAATGAACTAGATTTCTACCCACTGGAAAGTCACGTAGACCAATAGCTGAGGTACATCATCTTTTGTTTGTTTTTAAATGAGACCCTTTAACCTGAATGGCTGCAGCAGCATTTAGGGTAAGAAAGTCACGCCTATATAAGAAGGCAGGCTTTCCAGGGAGCCTCAGAGATGAAGTAACCAAGTTAAACAGAAGTCAAGTGTACATGTAGGTTAAGGACCTGTGCAAGGAGAAGGTAAGGATTCTTACCA